CTCTAGAATATAACCCAGAGTTAGGTGATGTCTGGTGGTTCTATAAACAGTCAATAGTACAACAGTAGATCACTCTCTAGAATATAACCCAGAGGTAGGTGATGTCTGGTGTTTCTATAAACAGACAATAGAACAACAGTGGACCACTCTCTAGAATATAACCCAGAGTTAGGTGATGTCTGGTGTTTCTATAAACAGACAATAGAACAACAGTAGACCACTCTCTAGAATATAACCCAGAGTTAGGTGATGTCTGATGTTTCTATTAACAGACAATAGTACAACAGTAGATCACTCTCTAGAATATAACCCAGAGTTAGGTGATGTCTGATGTTTCTATTAACAGACAATAGTACAACAGTAGATCACTCTCTAGAATATAACCCAGAGTTAGATGATGTCTGGTGTTTCTATAAACAGACAATAGAACAACAGTGGGCCACTCTCTAGAATATAACCCAGGGTTAGATGATGTCTGGTGTTTCTATAAACAGACAATAGTACAACAGTGGACCACTCTCTAGAATATAACCCAGAGTTAGATGATGTCTGGTGTTTCTATAAACAGACAATAGAACAACAGAGGGTCACTCTCTAGAATATAACCCAGAGTTTGCTGATGTCTGGTGTTTCTATAAACAGACAATAGAACAACAGTAGATCACTCTCTAGAATATAACCCAGGGTTAGATGATGTCTGGTGTTTCTATAAACAGACAATAGAACAACAGTGGGCCACTCTCTAGAATATAACCCAGATTTAGGTTATTTCGATGTTTTTTTAAGCTGAAAAAAAGTACAGCAGTTGACTGCTCTCTGAAATTTAACCCAGAGTTAGATGATGTCTGGTGTTTCTATAAACAGACAATGGTACAAAAGTGGATCATCCTCTAGAATATAACCCAGGGTTAGGTGATGTCTGGTGGTTCTATAAACAGTCAATAGAACAACAGTAGATCACTCTCTAGAATATAAACCAGAGGTAGGTGATGTCTGTTGTTTCTATAAACAGACAATAGAACAACAGTAGACCACTCTCTAGAATATAACCCAGAGTTAGGTGATGTCTGGTGTTTCTATAAACAGACAATAGAACAACAGTAGACCACTCTCTAGAATATAACCCAGAGTTAGGTGATGTCTGATGTTTCTATTAACAGACAATAGTACAACAGTAGATCACTCTCTAGAATATAACCCAGAGTTAGGTGATGTCTGATGTTTCTATTAACAGACAATAGTACAACAGTAGATCACTCTCTAGAATATAACCCAGAGTTAGATGATGTCTTGTGTTTCTATAAACAGACAATAGAACAACAGTGGGCCACTCTCTAGAATATAACCCAGGGTTAGGTGATGTCTGTTGTTTCTATAAACAGACAATAGAACAACAGTGGGCCACTCTCTAGAAGATAACCCAGAGTTAGGTGATGTCTGGTGTTTCTATAAACAGACAATAGTACAAAAGTGGATCATCCTCTAGAATATAACCCAGGGTTAGGTGATGTCTGGTGTTTCTATAAACAGACAATAGAACAACAGTGGGCCACTCTCTAGAATATAACCCAGGGTTAGGTGATGTCTGGTGTTTCTATAAACAGACAATAGTACAACAGTGGATCATCCTCTAGAATATAACCCAGGGTTAGGTGATGTCTGGTGTTTCTATAAACAGACAATAGAACAACAGTGGGCCACTCTCTAGAATATAACCCAGAGTTAGGTAATGTCTGGTGTTTCTATAAACAGACAATAGAACAACAGTGGGCCATCCTCTAGAATATAACCCAGAGTTAGATGATGTCTGGTGTTTCTATAAACAGACAATAGTACAAAAGTGGATCATCCTCTAGAATATAACCCAGGGTTAGGTGATGTCTGGTGTTTCTATAAACAGACAATAGTACAACAGTGGACCACTCTCTAGAATATAACCCAGAGTTAGATGATGTCTGGTGTTTCTATAAACAGACAATAGTACAAAAGTGGATCATCCTCTAGAATATAACCCAGGGTTAGGTAATATCTGGTGTGTCTATAAACAGACAATAGTACAAAAGTGGATCATCCTCTAGAATATAACCTAGAGTTAGATGATGTCTGGTGTTTCTATAAACAGACAATAGTACAAAAGTGGATCCTCCTCTAGAATATAACCCAGAGTTAGATGATGTCTGGTGTTTCTATAAACAGACAATAGTACAAAAGTGGATCATCCTGTAGAATATAACCCAGAGTTAGGTAGTGTTTGGTGATTTTTATACGAACAGACAATAGCACAACAACGACCAACTGAAAATCGTCAGTGTATACTCTATTCTTAACATGAAATATAATAATGTAGGCCTAGATGTTGTGATACTGGCGATTTTAAAGAATGTTTGGAATTTTAATTTTAATCAAAGTAAGATCTGCAGTAATTGTACTGTTGTCGGTTTAAAGGGTTTTGTTCTTTTATGATTGATATACTTCCTCATGTGAAGAGTTCATTAGCTGCTACCAATGTTTTGCTAATATGTTGTTTTGGATTTCGGGTTTCCTTTTTGCAGTTTAGCTTATTTACAGACGATCATGCAATTTTGAGCCTTACTAATCATGGAACAATCCATTTAAATCTCTAACTAAATCTTGAAATGTTTCAGGAAAATGAAAAACAGGGCCAGGATTTAACTCAGGTAAAGGTGATGCCAAATGGACCGACACGGTTAAAACCAGAAAATAATAATAGAGAAGAACCGATACAAGGCAAAACAGATTCTGAAGACGAAAGCTACAAAGATGACTCTGAAGATCGGTGTCAATTTATCAAAGATATTAAAAGAATTATAAAGACATTCTGTGTAAAACATGCCACAAAATTTTCAACCTTCTTCAAGCTCCTGACAGTGTTTTTATTGGTAGTGTATTTTTGTTATGCCATGTACTATAGTTTTGGTGATGAAGGATCCACCACTCTCATTGTTGTGTATTTGATTGTTGTTTTTTATTTTACCCACAAACATCTCACCGGGGTATTTGAAAGAAGGAGAATTGTGCTGTTTACTTCGTGTATGAAAAGTAAATCAAAGAAATTGTGCTATATCAGATGGTAGGTAAACAGTCTTAGTTTTATATACTCATAGTTGTATTCAGGGGTTTATCTAGAAAATGCCCAAAGGGAGGGGCCAAAGGGGAGGTGTCTCTCCGAGGCAAAGACTTAAGGACCGAAGCCCTTTGCAGCCGAGGGACTGCCAGAGGCCCCAAGAAGCCCATGGATTTAAGATGTCCTGAGATGAATTTTTAACAGTAAGAGGACTTAATTTTCACTCAAAATGAGAGGGACCATGGCCCAATGACCTCCCCCTATATACGAATTATCTTATCCTTTGGTATGATTACTCACTGAACTTGCTATCTTTAACTCAAAACAAAACCCGAAATTTCAAAATAAAGAGTTTGGCAATACATGAACATTGGTAGCAGCTAATGAACTTTGTATATGAGTAAGTATATCTGAGAGCTGCATTTTGAAGCTTTCTTGTCAAGCCCATGATGGGTATTCTTTTTAGAAAGACAATGCGCAATCGAAACATGCTTGCATTTTGAAGCGCTACACGTATAAAGAATCTAGAGTGAGTAGTCAAACGTATAGAAGCTGTTTTGATTTATCATTTAGAATGTGCAATGTACAATCGAAACATACTAGACTGTTTTGTTGTGATAACGTCTTAACAAGAATATAGTAAGGATATCCTTATTACAAGGATAACGTTATAACGTGTCCAATGGTATATATTTAGTAACGGTAATATTTTGATGTGTATTTTGTACAGGTTTCTATATCTTGCTATGACTGGTTTTGCTGTTACCTATGTTATACTGGAAGTAGGAATGAAACATCCCCAGAATCTCTGGTCGTTGATAGGAATGCTGGGGTTTATCATCCCCTGTATACTCGTCTCTACGAGCGTAACGTCGGTAGGTGTCTTGTAAAACATGAATATCGCTAACGATAGTCTCCTGTTGTACATGAGGGGATTCTGTAATGGTTAATAATTGTACTGGTTTAGTTGACAGGTTGATATGGTGATGGGCATTTCAGAACAACAATACTAAGTCCTGGAAGAGATTGAAGCCCAGGTTCACCAGTTGGCATCTCATGATAAGCTCCCTGATCTAGCAAAATTTCCCTTATTGCACCCAACATGGCGTTTCACGTCTTCAGTGACCAACATGGTGCAGAAAAGTAGGACGTAAAACTCCATTTTATTTCATTTCGTGATTAGCTTCGATATTGAGCAATTTGTATTTCAAGAGTGCTACATAGCTTTCTAGAAGCACCCGTCATTTACAATTTAGATGACATAACTTTTGGATTCTCTTGACAGAGCTAATCGGCTACATAAATAGCAAACCTATTCTTCTCGGTGCAATGTTGGTACCTCGACCTCTAATAGTCTCAATTCTGCGACAATACAATGGTTAGTTTTGTATCTGCGAAGATACAATAAGCATGATAAGCGGAGTCAGCAATCATGCAACACTCCGACAGGTCAATTTTGAAAATGAAATGGTTAATTTGTACCTTTCAGATCAACTGGCACTGTATATTCTGGTGTCTTTCAACTCAGTTTATTCTGGCTATAACTCTACTACGGACGGAATGGGGAGTGTACATCATGGATTGGATTGCTGGCTGTGTCAAGGCTTTTATGGAAAATGGTTATAAATCGTCAGAATTTCTGTTTGGAAAGAGTTCCGATCATAGAATAGTTATGAAGGTACGTATATACATAACTATATAGCTTGTACTGTGTAATCCGACACAGGTTTAAGTCCGAGAGGAGGAGGAGGGGGGGGGGGGGGGGGGTAACTCAGATGTTGGAATTCACAGATTGCACTGTATATAGATATGTTGTATACATTGAGAGGAAGGAAGTTTGGGTGGTGGCATAACATTACGAGAAACCCCACTGTATTGAGTTGTTTGCCACAAAAATGGAAAAGTTGATCCATATGGGGTGTGGCAGTGTCTTATGAATCACCACCGGAACATCGGTGTATATCAGTTTTTAACCCCGACGCTTTAAATTGTTACAAAGCCACATATACATTATAAACGTTTTTTTTCTATTTCAGTCTCTTCCTTTGCTATTTTTAGTCAATTCATTTCTGGCCATTTTATACCATTTCGGACTGATGCAGATAGTATTAAAATGTATTGGTAAAGCTTTGAGCTCTACTTTAGAAACAACACCACCAGAATCTCTCAGTGTAGCGGCTAATTTATTTCTGGGAGGGGTATGTATTGCCTTTATTCGTCATCTGGTCCTTCTACTAGTTACTTTGTGGTCGTTGAAAAATCATTTCAGAATCTGCTTGTCGCAATGACCTCCCAGGCCGCCCTTAACTTAATGCATAACCTCAACCATGCCTAGTTTGACATGAACCCGATTTTGTTCCCTCTCGCCGTCCACATGCTTTCAGATTCTGCCAGTTCCCATTAACCTGTTGCTCCACAGCTCGTTGTTATCTGGATTCTGATCAATATTGTCTACCTTTAAACCTTTGAATCATAGTATTGGCTTCTGACCTGATTGATATCCTCATGTGAAAAGTTCACTAACTGCTACAAATGTATTGCCAATATACTGTTTTGGATTTCGGGTTTCGCTTTCCGGTTTGTATCGCCAGTACTTGGGGTTTATTATGCATCTACCTGTACTTCAATTTTTTTTTTCGTAGACTCAGGCGACCCTAGTTATCAAACCATATCTAAATACCATGTCGATATCAGAACTGTTTGCTCTGGTAGTTGGATGTTTCTCGTCTGTAAGTGGTGTTGTTTTCGGTATCTATATCAATTTTGGGGTAAGTATATTTCACAGTTCGTATACCATTGACATTATGTGGGAGAAAAGAACGTAATTGAGCTCTACCTGCTGGTAAACGAAATATGTAGATTGTATATCAATATGTATATGTATATATGTATACGGTCTAGAAGGGTGGTTTGGTCATGTCGGATTTTGAGGGTTGTTGGTTTATTGGTTTCCTTCTATAGCTTATAGTGATTAGATCGATAATGTAGATTTGCAGAGGATGCGGTTTGGAGGGGTATTCATTGTATGAATTACATGCGCATAGTCTTAAAACTTAATCAGATTTAACTTTTAAGCTATCATTGTCGTTTCAGGCACCTGCCAAGCACCTGCTCACAGCTAGCATCATGTCTGCACCTGCTTCGTTTGCTATAGCCAAGCTTTTAGTTCCTGAAACTAAACCCAATAGAGACAGTGACTGGGAGAACACCAAATTGGATATAACGTAAGCCATATACAATAAAAATGATTGAACTGCAAATTCAATTAATTTTTTTATTAAATTATAACACACAAAATTCATAGTTCAGTCAAATAATCATTAAGTAACATAAGGTGAGATCAAATTAAAAAAAAAACACGGAGCACAATTTTATAGTATTCTGCTTCCGAGCCACAATCAATACATACGATTATTACACCTATGTAGAATAAACCCTTCAATACACAATTTCTCCAACTTCCTCATGTGAAAAGTTCATTAGATGCTTCCCAATTCAGTTCGGATCGTTAGTACTTGGTTTGTTTATTTCAGAAAGTATAAAAATATTCTCGACGCCACTGGCCGAGGAGCTTTAGAAGTTATGGGTGTATTTACAAGTATTGTGGTGAATCTGTATGTATTCTATGCATTGTTGCAATTTCTGAACAGCGTCTTGATCTGGAGTGGCGAAAGAATTGGAATAGAAAATCTCAGTTTTCAGGTAATATGGACTTCTTACAAATGATCTTCTCAGCAACATGACAAACAACATAGATATTCATTTTAAAGGTATATTACCTGTAAAGATGACCCAAAAATTTGAAATTTTAAAACTTGGTTAAAACCAGTCTGTGTTTATCAGTGTCATAACTATACAAATGAATCCGTCTATAATGCAATAATAAAGTAATAATCCATTAAAATAAGTAATTTTGAAAAGTGCTTAGAAGCTTGTTTCAATAATTATTTAGTTTGATAGATATTGTGTATTAATATCGAGATTCTATTGTTTAGTCATAAGTTTGAAACTTGAAATTTTATGTCCATACTTAGAGGTAGTATTCTTTTAAAAATGTAAAACACGTTTTTTAGAGAAGTACATGTATAAAGTTTACAGTTTAACGAATTAATTCATCATGATATATATATATTTTTGTTTTAAAAGTCAGTGTCAGATACATCTATAAAGTTTACACATGATTCATCATTTTTAAAAAAAAAACGCAAGTGGCGTGCAAAGTACATCTATCACTCTTGCGGTATGTCTTATTATGTAATGTTGCTGTTGTGGGTGACTTCCCTTCGTTTTTCTTTTCATTTCATCACAAATTATTTTCGCTGTAAGGGAATATTTTAAAACCGTTTAGTTTATTTGAAAGGGGAGGGGGACTTAAACTTATTTAAAGGGGACTCAGTGAATTAGACGCTTGCTCTCTAATCTGGGGGTTTAATCGAGATTTCGGATTTTTCAAATAGGTTTCTCCCTGTCAGTGATTCGGTTAAGATTGGCAGATATCGAAAAAAGCTTCTTGTCGTTATAGGCTGTATATGTTTAAGATCCCTCGACAGTTGCCCGTCTTCATTAGACCACAAGATGCACAAAAGTAGGACGTAAAACTCCATTCATTTTATTTTTAAAGGGATATTTAAAACTTTAAAACTTCATACTTGGCTGTAACTGTTTTGAAACAAGCTAGATGTATATAACAATCACAACCCGATACCATAGTGACTGGTTCAACCAGGTCTACTATAGTGACTGGTTCAACCAGGTCTACCATAGTGACAGGTTCAACCAGGTCTACCATAGTGACTGGTTCAACCAGGTCTACCATAGTGACTGGTTCAACCAGATCTACCAAAGTGACTGGTTCAACCAGGTCTACCACAGTGACAGGTTCAACCAGGTCGGCGGGCATCCCCCTTTAACACGGCCCGTCCCACAGATGAAAATACAATTATTATACAAAACAAAGCAACCAGTAATATATAAACATGAATGGGTGAAAAAGCATTAATTACAGACTGAAAAAATTAAATTTAAATCTCCCATTATCAGGTATAAATTGACTTAAGAGGTTTCTCAGGAGAGCATATGTTAAAAAAAACATTCCCGGGGAAGAGACTCAAATTACTTAAGTCTACGGGCCCCCACTAATCTGGTTGAGCTACTGTTAAAACACATTACTTTTCTTCCTAAAACTGTGATGCCTCGATATGTTACAATATTTATATCCAAGGGACCGCATCGCCTGTGGTGAAATCGCCTCACTTAGCTTGAAAACGTGATGCAGGTGAGAGGGGCTGACATGGAAAAAGCGTCTAGTCGTTCGGATGGGACAATAAATCGAGGCCCCGTGTGCTACAGGCTGTGCACGTTAAAGATCATCTCGACAGTTGGAAATCGAATAAGAGCAGGCTAATGCCGCTGTCCTGGCAAAATTTCCCTCATTGCACCCTGCATGGCGTTGTCAGTCTTCATTATCCCACATTGTGCAGAAAAGTAGGACGTAAAACTCCATTCATTTCATTTCATCATTAGCTTGAAAACTGGTGCAAGAGAACTGGACAGATTATGAATGATTATCGCGGGAAAATGGGACATCTCGTTATCTTAAGAAAAAAATATCATAAAAAGGAGAATAAAATAGATAAAATGTTTCTTAAAAAAAGAAATTTATTTAAACATTTTTATAACATATGCTTGCAGTGCAGAATTATGCAACTTTTAGCCACATTAAAAGAATGTTGACTGATTAACTTGTTAAAAAAACTGCGTGTCAGACCAGTTTAAACAGGATGACTGATGTTACAACACTACAATAAATGTATTTTATAAGTAGTTTCAAGCCACGCCACATTGCATGCCGTTTTCCGACTTCATAAGTACAATAGGATGCAGAAAAGTAGGACGTAAAACTCCATTCATTTCGTTTGAAAATTGTCAAGGAATCAGAAAGCTGCTTTCGAAATGCCGCCAATTAAAGCACTTTTCAATGTGATCATTTTACGTGTTTGTTTCAAGGTCTTATTCAAATTGGGCGAATACTCAAGGGAAATAACTGAAAAATAACTCGTCGAAATATTGTCAATTTGAAATCGTTTCATAAAATATTACCAAATATCACAGAGAGAAATATAATTCCTCGTCTATACACATCTAAATATTATTGTTGTGTTTATCCGTAGTAATTGGGTAGAATAGTGTAAACAGGGTTCAATCTGGATGTTAGAAAATTGATTAGCAATCCATCACAACAAATTTCGGTTTTGGCTAATCAAGTTAAATTTGGATTCACATTTCATTTGCAGTAATAGACTTCAGATCGAATTTGCCAATGACGATAATACTCCATATAGTTGAGAATTTATACTTTATCACATTTCAGTTAGTCGTATCCTACTTATTAATGCCTCTGCCTGTGTTTATGGGAGTAGATATACAAGATTGTAGATCAATAGCCAAATTGATCGGATACAAGCTAGTCGGCAGCAATTCCTTATCCTTCATCAAGCTGGGAAAACTCAGAGAGAACAAGGAACTGTTCCTGGAATATTCTCTCGGTGCCAATAGAACCTGGCATTATAGAGGAGATGATATTATCCTAGATTCCTGGAATACTACACTCGCAGATGGAATCATATCAGTAAGTGTTGATTGTGGTTTTAATGTTCTATTTCCCATCAAAATTACGAAAAACGGTACTATTTCATTTAAATCCAAAGTACGTTATGCCAACATATTTCTGATCATGTAACGAATAACGAATTAATTCAGTCGCACCCTTCGCAAGCCTCGAACGCAAGTTTTTCGGGCAAAAATGTCATAACTATAAATTCGGGCAATCTCAGATATTTCGCCCCTCGGACGTAAACCTGGCTCCGTCACTGGCATTAGGGTATTAAACGTTTCTACGTTATCCAAATAGGAATATACGCATCTGCCATAAATGTAACTTAACGAAAATAGCTTAAAGAGGTTCCCCTGTAATCCAGTGGCGGAGTCACTTGCGCCTCCACAGAGTTACTTCATTTGAACGTAACCTCAAAAGTTGTCTCTCCATTGAGTCAGTCTGCCCCCATTTTGTGGCGCCCCAACGCAGTAATCCTAGGAAGGCATTACCAAATATGTCTGGTGGACTGATTCGGGAATTACATAAAACAGAGTAGCTTTTTTGAAGAAAATACCACGACCAGTAGGCCAGCTCCTTTAATTTTTCCCCTTCTTTCCAGGAGAGATCGACAGCGATAGCAACTTATGCTATGTGTGGCTTCTCCAATTTCTCGAGTATTGGAATCATGTTGGGGACTTTGTATGTTTTGATTCCCAAAAGAAACGGAATTTTAGTAAAAATTATATGTAAAGCTATGATAGCAGGGAATATAGCATGTTACCTCACAGCCTGTATAGCAGGTAAGGCCATTGTTTGTAGGTGACTCTTTATAAACCATCGATTGTCTGAGCATAACGCTTTTTGAATTTTTGTTATATAGTTTAAGGGAATTGGAATATCAGCCTTAAAACAGTATTGTTAGTCTAAGCCTCGATACAAAATTGATTTTTTGAAGGTTTCATTTAAAATTAACATAATTCTCTCCTAGAAATTTCAACCCCAAAATAGTCTCACATTTTGGGAGACATAATGTATGCTCATGTTTTATATACATCCAGTGGCTCAACTAGATGGATGGGGGCCCGTGGGTTCGGACCCTCCCTCGGGATTTTTAAATTTTTTATGCTCTCCTGCATTCGGAGACCCCTCTGTTAGTCATTTTGATGCCTCATTTCCTTAATAACAACATCATATTGCTTTTTCGCTGAGGATGGTGGCCCGTGGACTTGGTTCAACCAGTCCCTTTGGTAGTTAAGCCACTGTATATAACACTTTTTATTTTTGGAGCTTAGCACACGACCCCTTAAAATGAGATCACTCTTCCTTTTGTGTCTTATCAATGAAGCTATTTTAATGAAATGTTTTATATTGCCTAGGTATATTTTATGAATGATATTCCTCAGTCTGACCAGTATGCCTTCTGATAGTCGAAAATAGAAAGAGGATAGCCAATATGGGTATGGTTTTTAACTTTCAACGTTTCGAACATTAGAAGAGTATTATCGCCGGAACGTTGTTGCTTCGGTTACATCATTATTACCTCTATATCGCTCTACAGTTGATGTATTGAGCACTTTTTTAACAGTGGTATTTCTATATCACTCTATAATTGATGTATTGAGTACTATTTAAACAGTGGTATTTATATATCGCTCCACAACTGATGTATTGAGTATTATTTAAACAGTGGTATTTATATATCGCTCCACAACTGATGTATTGAGCACTATTTTAACAATGGTATTTCTATATAGCTCTACAATTGATGTATTGAGCACTATTTTAACCGTGGTATTTCTATATAGCTCTACAATTGATGTATTGAGTACTATTTAAACAGTGGTATTTATATATCGCTCCACAACTGATGTATTGAGCACTATTTTAACAATGCTATTTCTATATAGCTCTACAATTGATGTATTGAACACTATTTTAACAATGGTATTTCTATATAGCTCTACAATTGATGTATTGAGCACTATTTTAACAGTGGTATTTCTATATAGCTCTACAATTGATGTATTGAGTACTATTTAAACAGTGGTATTTATATATCGCTCCACAACTGATGTATTGAGCACTATTTTAATAGTGGTATTTCTATATAGCTCTACAGTTGATGTATTGAGCACTATTTTAACAGTGGTATTTCTATATCTCTCTACAATTGATGTATTGAGCACTATTTTAACAATGGTATTTCTATATAGCTCTACAATTGATGTATTGAGCACTATTTTAACAGTGGTATTTCTATATAGCTCTACAATTGATGTATTGAGCACTATTTTAATAGTGGTATTTCTATATAGCTCTACAATTGATGTATTGAGCACTATTTTAACAGTGGTATTTCTATATAGCTCTACAATTGATGTATTGAGCACTATTTTAATAGTGGTATTTCTATATCACTCTACAATTGATGTATTGAGTACTATTTTAACAGTCGTATTTCTATATCACTCTACAATTGATGTATTGAGCACTATTTTAATAGTGATATTTCTATATCACTCTACAATTGATATATTGAGCACTATTTTAACAGTGGTATTTCTATATAGCTCTACAATTGATGTATTGAGCACTATTTTAATAGTGGTATTTCTATATCACTCTACAATTGATGTATTGAGTACTATTTTAACAGTCGTATTTCTATATCACTCTACAATTGATGTATTGAGCACTATTTTAATAGTGATATTTCTATATCACTCTACAATTGATATATTGAGCACTATTTTAACAGTGGTATTTCTATATAGCTCTACAATTGATGTATTGAGCACTATTTTAACAGTGGTATTTCTATATCACTCTACAATTGATGTATTGGGCACTATTTTAACAGTGGTATTTCTATATCACTCTACAATTGATGTATTGAGTACTATTTTAACAGTGGTATTTCTATATCACTCTACAATTGATGTATTGAGCACTATTTTAACAGTGGTATTTCTATATAGCTCTACAATTGATGTATTGAGTACTATTTATACAGTGACAATATTTTGTTATTGTTATAAAATATAATCATTATATATGAAACTATAAATTATATTTCAGTTTTTATGACGTTTATTGATATAGGTTTGAAATGTAGTTATTTATTCAATTTGTGTATCAACCACTGTGCGATTCAGTTTGCAAACTGACAATGCCTATATAAGGAGCCGCGGTGGCTCAGTAAGTTCGACGCTTTCTCTCTAACCTGATCCCGGCAATAGGTCGAGATAATACCTTCGGATTTTCAACCCGGTTTACCCCTGTCAGTGATGCAGGTAAGAGGGGCTGACATGGATAAACCGTCTAGTCGTTCGTATGGGACAATAAACCTAGTCCCAGTGTGCTATAGGCTTTGCACATTAAGATCCCTCTACAATGCTGCTGTCCTGGCGAAATTTTCTCTTTTCACCCTGCATGTCGTTGCTCTTCTTCATTAGCCCACATGGTACAGGTGCAGAAAAGTAGGACGTAAAACTCCATTCTTTTCATTCAGACATATATATATATATTATATAATGAACTATGTTGTATTATTATATACTAATGAATTGTATTTTGAGTATATTTTTTGATAGTTTCTGTTTACAAAGATGACGTTTGAACAATCTCGCTAACCTTTATCTTTTTATTATATATATCGTTGATTAAACATTGTTAGAAATTCGCTGCAATGAAAATGTATTATGTATTAAACTTGTTAATTCCAATGAATTTGTTTTATTTCATATGTTGAAAACAGGGATTGGCTTTTAAGTTCTTAATTATCGCTTTAAGATAAAAACTTGTCCGGTGTGGGGGGGGGCTGCCCCATCTGCCCCTCCTTTGGCTCCACCAATGTGTGTGGATGTCCAATGTCAAAGGTAAGAACTAAAACACTATAAACCCTGAATGTATTACACTTTACTACTTGTAATTAGTACATTTCCACGGGGCAAAGGTTTAACATTATTAAAAAACTATTACTTTTACAGACCCGACCCACCACTTTTTTTCGTTTGCAGAGTTTGCAGATTCGGAGAGAATCCAACAGGAATTTTGTAAACTCATTGGACTTCAACCCAAAATTCAATTTAATGTTGCTTTCGTAAGTGAAAGCCATATTTCATCTGCCAAGTTTGAAATTACTACGCTATCGCCCTTTAAATTAGATTATTGTGACTGAACGTTGACAGTTAAATTGCATAACAAGATATTTGTAATTTCACAAGTTGTATGATCAGAAACATCGTGGTCGGGGTGAGAAATGGAATGTGAGGATTTAGGCGACGCTTGGCAAATAAAATGTGATGTTTCTTGTAGCAAGTACCGTAAAGTGGTAGGCTTTTTTTTCAAACCTTTATTTTATTCTATTTTTTGTAGAACATATTTTTGAATAAGTAGTGTTGGATGCTTCGATATTCAATCTGCTGATATTGAACCCCTTTAGTGGTTGCCTGAATACCCCATCATTTGTTGGATTAACCCTTTGAAAAATTTATTTTCATTTATTTCTCTCCAATGGAATGCCAAAACGGAAAAAATACAACATGAAAAATCACATACCGAGAAGTTGAAAATTTATACCAAGAAATTGGTGTGTGATTTTTCAAGTTGGATTTTTTCCGTTTTGACATTCCATAGGAGAGAAATAAATGAAAGCAAATATTTCAAAAGTTCAGAAGTGGAAATTTCTTGGTATAAAATTTCAACTTCTTGGTATGTGATTTTTTATGTTGGAGATTTTTTTCCGTTTTGGTATTCCATAGGAGAGGAATGTTACTACGAGTATTAATAACAGTTTCATTAAAATGTATTTCAACTAAATATGGGTCAAATCAGTTTTATATTTTTGGAGTAAAAAAATCTTATTTAACTAAGTAATAAATAGAAATGATTTTAATATTGTTTTAACCGTGTTAATTTCCCCAAGCCGGGGCTTTACTATGTGAAAAGTTTGTGTATGTTTCTTCAAGCATTGAGGGGAGATAACAAACGATATCATTTCAGTCAGACAGAGTCTTTCTTCAGATGGATATTTTGCTCTTAAATAGTTCGAGTATATGTCGATAAAGATATAGTGATAGAGTTTGACGCACTTTCTTTGGGTGAAAACTGGCTGTGTTGATCGGGGTACTTTTTATCATTTTGTCTTTTCCTGTTCAAGGACTCCGCATGTGGCATACCAGTTTCAGTCTCCATTGCAATCTAACGAGATTTATACCAAGGTAGCGTACTGGTGATGCTACAAGTTATTAACATAAACGTCAACAATACGCGACCTTGACATTTTTAAATTATATTGGCGACCGTATAAGAAAATAGCGAAACGAAATAGAAATCTTAACTTCAAATTTTAACTAGATTGGTAGCAATCGACGTCAAGAAATTGATTAACTCGTTTCTTTCTTTTCAGACCGATGACGAATTTGAGGTGGTTCCTATGATTACAATGCCGTCAAACGGAAACGTCTACCTGGCACCGGAATGTCATACAGAATCTTCAAAAACCAAGGAAGACTACGAAGATGAAACTGAAAGCCGATGCCAGTTTTATCACCACTTTCAAAGAACATTAAAAATATTCTGTGAAAAACATTCCAACAAGTTTTCAAATTTCTTCAAGCTCCTGACCGTGTTTTTATTGGTAGCGTATTTTTGTTATGCTATGTACTATAGTTTTGGTGATGAAGGCTCCATCACTCTCCTTGGTATTTTCGCCATTATTGTTATTTATTTTGCCCATAAACACCTCCTGAGATTTTTAGAGAAGAGAAACCGGGGCCATATTTTACCTTTGGCATGTACCAGTGGTAGAAAACTCTGTTATTGCAGATGGTAAGTGAATTGATTAAATAGTTACCTATATAGTTAGCCATAATTGAGCCAATCTTTTAACAAATCCAAAAGCCAGTTCATTAGCTGCTGCTTAGGTTTTGCCGAAATGTTGTTTTGGATTACGATTTTCGATTTGCGGTCGTTAGTATTTGTTTTTTTTTTCAACTGATTTGGGATTTCTCAATAATTGTATTTTCCAGGTTTCTATATATCACAATAGTTGTATTTTCTATTTTCCAGGTTTCTATATGTTGTCATAGTTGTATTTTCTATGTTTCTAGGTTTCTATATGTTGTCATAGTTGTATTTTCTATGTTTCTAGGTTTCTATATGTTGTCATGGTTGTATTTTCTGTAACAATTATTGTCATAGAGGTTGGAATGAAGCAACCCCGCAATCTGTCATCTTTGGCAGGAATGGTTGCTTTCTTATTGTTGTGTGTATTGGCTTCGACCAACGTTACCTCGGTGAGTATAAAAAATATCAAACATTTTATCTGGACTTTCTAAGTTACCCATGGTGACCATTCATTTATGGCTGTTTGTTTTCACGCATCTGGTACAGCCTCTATTCCAGCCTCTGATAGATATTTTGACAGTTATCAGCTACCGACTTTCAAAATAGGTATGAGAGGCTGGAATAGAGGCTGATGTTTCGGTCTCACATCCCTGTGACGTTTCTTTTGCCTTTCAATATATAGATAATTATGTTATTATATTTTCAGATAAATTGGCATTGCATATTTTGGTCGATATCAGTGCAGTTTATTTTAGCTTTAATATTATTACGAACCGACTGGGGTATCAGTGGTATAGAGTGGGTTGCAGCCTGCGTCGAATCGTTTATGGAAAATGGTTATAAAGCGTCTAAGTTTGTTTTTGGTAAGACTGAAGATCATCGAATACTTCTAGAGGTAATGTTATTAAGACAACCCTCGCAGCTCATCAAAATCGGTGTGATATCTGTTGGTCCGTACATAGGACCAGATATCGCACTGCCGTTTCTACAGGGTGTTGGGGGGGGGGGGGGCATGGCTCTCCCGGAAAAGAGGCTGGCCCGGCTCTGACCCCCCTCCCATTTTTATCATTTTACATAGTGAACAACACTCTTTATGTTTCCTAGAAACGACACTGATTGTTAAATTGGCCACGCTATTCAAACAAATTTGATATTTGACATAATTGTGTCATATTCTAATAACTTGACGTTCATTTTTAATTGACATTTCAAAATAAAATAATTTAAATACCTTTCAATTGAGATATTTCAAAATATTACAACCTCTCGAAACAAGATTTAATTTTTTTAATTCTCGTAAACGCATTTTGACGTTTAAGGCAACTGATTTTTCTCATCGTGTCCGTAAAAAGAACGGATTTCTACCTACGCTCGTAGATTCAAACCGATCAGGTCGACTATCAAATTGAACTTCTTTTGAGCAAATTTTTCTAGAATTGCAGGAACTCCACAAACCCCTAACCGTACTAAAAAGGATAACGAAAGAACCCACGGTAAGGCAATGAACGCAATTTAATGTGGCATAGTATCCATTTATTGTTTAATATCATTTCAGTCCCTACCACTGTTGTTCCTGGTTAACTCCTTCCTGGCCATTTTGTATCATGTTGGTCTCATGCAGATCCTAATCAGAGGAATTGGTAAATTTCTAAGTTCCACGCTGGGAACAACTCCACCAGAATCTCTCAGTGTATCCGCCAACATGTTCTTAGGATCGGTCGGTATTTATTACTAGTTAAACCTTATCACTATTAGGCTCCAACAGAAAGCACAGGAATGGAATGAGACTGGCGATAATGTTACAATCAGCTTGGTCGATCTCTGATCTACATATTCAATTTTTTTAATTTCAACTTTTACCAAAAGAACTAAACTTTTATTGTTTTCTATGCTGAAACTGAAGATTTTTGTACTTGATGGATAGGTAAACGTTTACAGAAAAGGTTTACAGAATCGCTGAAATCTTCTTTTACGGTCCTAATTAGGAATAAGTGTCATCATTAAAACATCTATTGAAAGTATACCTAACCAGGCTGATCTGATTCGAATATATCATTATTAAGTTTGCTACACATGAATAGGTCCAATACGGACTTGACCAAACCCACTTTTACCAGTAGCTACTCTGCAGTGGAGGAGCCAGGTTTACGTCCGAGGGCGGGCGAGATATCTGAGATTGCCCTTTGGCTCCGCCACTGCTACTCTGCTTTTAATGATGTTTTAAATCTTGAAATTTAATCATGCCTGATTAGTAACATCTAACTCTTGTTTTTACAGTCTCAGTCGGCTCTGGTCATTAAACCCTATCTAAATTCAATGTCCAAATCTGAACTGTTCTCAATGATGGTCGGTGGCTTTGCGTCGGTTAGTGGAGCTGTATTCGGCATCTTCATCAACTTCGGGGTAAGTACATTATGATGTGGTCACATTATCAGTGACTCAGTGATTGGTTTAATCCCTAAGGGGTCCCATCCCAAGATATCTTCCATTAACAGGCATTAAATTGACACCCAGAGGGACCTCAACCTGAATTGGAATAGGCGAAAGGGATGATTTTACTGAATCTCTCAGTTTGCTGATTGTTTCATGTATGTACAAAAGAAGATGCAATGATTAATATAATATAACATAACATAACATTTTTAAAGCATAAAAATACCGAGGTTCCTAGTTTTTGAGAAAAAATTACTTTATGGTCCCTGTTTGGCCTCCTCAACTAAAGTTTCCCAGAAACGCCACTGGTCAGTTTCCTCCCTTGTATTGTTATAAAATATTTAGTTACCTCCCTTGAACTACTTTTTAGCACTTGCCACAATTTTCTTGTTTTTTTTATCCTTAGTCTATTGCAATAAATAATGACGAAAACCTCTGTGATGGGTGCTTACATAAAACCAAAGGGAAACTTAATAATTAAATGAATGCTTAAAATTTCACTTTCAGGCGCCAGCCAAGCATCTTCTAACAGCCTGTATCATGTCAGCCCCGGCATCGTTTGCTATCTCTAAATTACTGGTACCGGAATCCAAGAAGAACAGAAACAAGGACTGGGAGGACGCTGATCTAGACATCCAGTAAGTTTTCGGTTTTATACACGTAAACCATTTAATAAGATTTCAAGGTCTGAGTTTTGGAGATGATTTTATTGTATTTACACCAGAATAACTCACAATTCGCTGGTAGTTTCAAGAACACTTATATTTGTGACCCGATCGTCAGCCATAAAACCGTTTCTGAAAGCATGTTTTACTGGTTTGTTCATGGACATGATCCCGATCCTTTGGTTATATGACGCCACCCCCGCCATAAACCAGGGCCTGTTTCTACAAGCACTCTTCGAAAGTATTTTGTTTTTATATCAGAATAACATTTCGCTGGTGTGTTCATGAACATGATCTGGATACTTTGATTATATGACGCCATAAATCTAGGAAAACGTTTTTGGAAACTCACGTTTTGCTGGACATCATGTATATATATAACGCAACCCTCAGCCATGAAACCGTTTCTGAGAGCACCCTTGGAAGGTAAGTTCGACAGCGGTTCCTTTCATTTCAGCACATACTTTTCTCGTTCGTTTTTATTATACGGATATTCTTTTTAGGAAGTATAAGAATTTAATAGACGCTACAGGACGAGGTGCTCTAGAAGCTGTGACTGTATGTTCCAGTGTTATAGTAAACCTCTACGTCTTTTACGCTCTGCTACAATTTATCAACAGTCTAATGATCTGGACTGGTGAACGAATTGGTGTACAGGGACTCAGTTTTCAGGTGGGTATAAGGTTATATTGAGGCGAGTTACATTAAAAACACTGTCCTAGGTCACAGAGCTATGGATTAGCTTGTTAATTATTATACAATGAAAAAAAGAATCTGGCCCAGCTGTGCTCCCCCCACGCCACCCCACTTACAAATATTTTTTATCCAAGTGAATTGTAAACCATCTCTTTAGAAGAACAAATCAGAACACTCTGGCAATTTTATTGCTTTGTTATGGGGACATATCCTGGTTCGGTAATGGATGCATTTTTGGGTTATTTTGTTGTTTTTTGTAAAAACATCTTGAAAATTTTGTGCCCCCACTCCTAATGTTTCCTAGAAACGCCACCGTGTCCCAGCTTGATTAAAATATTACTAATAATTCTGTTGCAGTATATCATATCGTACTTGTTACTCCCTATACCAATGTTGATGGGAGTCGATTTAGTCGACTGTCGAGGGGTGGCCAAACTCATTGGATATAAACTCGTTGGAACTAATGGTCTGGCTTTTATAATGTTGGGAAAACTCAGAGAGAACAAGGAACTGTACCTGGAATATTCTCTCGGTGCCAATAGAACTTGGCATTATAAAGGAGATGATATTATCCTGGATTCCTGGAATACTACACTCGCAGGTGGAATCCTTTCAGTGAGTTTTTTGTTTAGAACTATTTCTTTTTGCACAAATCCAAATGAAATACTAAGTAAGTTCCATGTCTTTCCTGTCTGCTCCAAGTTGTGCTTAAAAAAACCGGATTCAAAGAACCTAATGTTACTGGCCATAATCAGACAATAAAATCAAATAATAAAATGAAAATAATGGAGTTTTACGTCTTACATTTCTGCACCTAATCGAAATAATAAGTTGCTGACAAATTTGTTGTTCAAACGTATAATATACAGACATATTCCTGAATCAGTATGCAGCCACAGCACTAATTTTGAACTCAAAAACCCCAGCCGAACAATAAAATTCTTTACACTAGCAATGGCGCAGGTGCACTCAAGAAATGCCCATAACATAGACAATGAAAAAGTATTGTTAATTAGAACTCCAACTTGACATCATATGATGAATCCGGATCTGTTCGTCCATGTATATGTTTGCCCAATTTCATGTTCGCTCTGAACAGATTTCTTGGAAAATGAATCTAATCCTGTTGGTGTTAGCCAGTTGGACCATTCATATAAACACCATCAAACAGGGATGATTTTCAGCTCCTTACACATGGCTAAAAATTTGGATTGGTCTGCATCCATCGAAAGTATAGACCCGATGCCTCATTAGACAGAGATAGCTACTTTATCATATACTCATTGTACTGCTTACCAGCTACCAGTTCTTGTAATAATTCCTACATTTACCATTCCAGGACAGATCCACGGCTATAGCAACTTACGCCATGTGTGGATTTTCAAATTTTGCCAGCATGGGAATCATGATGGGGACATTATTTGCTCTGGCACCTAAACGACAAGAATTGCTGGTGAATATAATATTGAAAGCTATGATAGCAGGGAATATAGCATGTTACCTCACAGCCTGTATAGCAGGTAAGGTCAAAATATAACCTCAAAACAATCAGTGGGGGACCCCTCAAGCCATGAAAAATTGATTCTACTTTCACTTCCAAAATCTCGTTAGATATATTTTTCCGGATTCCTAAATTTTTTTATAAATCCGCAAAGCGAGGCCGGGGGTAGGATGTCCCCTTTCAAAGAAAACAATGCATATCTACACCATTGCAAGCCCAAATGACAATGAAACTCCGCCGCTATATTAATGAATGACAAAATTATGCAAAATGTCATAACTAAAAAATTTGTGAATTATAAGTGAAAAGATTTTATTAGTTTTATATTTTTAGTGCTGTGTTTTTCGCCTAACCTATCAATGGTATATTTTATGTATTTCAGGTGTGTTCTATGAAACGTAAATGATGAATACCGACGGACAATGTCTTTATATACTCAGAGGATATTTTATATCAGACTAGTCTAGACTAACAATGTCTTTATATACTCAGAGGATATTTTATATCAGACCAGTCTAGACTAACACTGTCTTTATATACTCAGAGGATATTTTATATCAGACCAGTCTAGACTAACAATGTCTTTATATACTCAGAGGGTATTTTATATCAGACCAGCCTAGACTAACACTGTCTTTATATACTCAGAGGATATTTTATATCAGACCAGTCTAGACTAACAATGTCTTTATATACTCAGAGGATATTTTATATCAGACCAGTCTAGACTAACACTGTCTTTATATACTTAGAGGATATTTTATATCAGACTAGTCTAGACTAACACTGTCTTTATATACTCAGAGGATATTTTATATCAGACCAGTCTAGACTAACACTGTCTTTATATACTCAGAGGATATTTTATATCAGACCAGTCTAGACTAACAATGTCTTTATATACTCAGAGGATATTTTATATCAGACCAGTCTAGTCTAACACTGTCTTTATATACTTAGAGAATATTTTATATCAGACCAGTCTAGACTAACAATGTCTTTATATACTCAGAGAATATTTTATATCAGACCAGTCTAGACTAACACTGTCTTTATATACTTAGAGGATATTTTATATCAGACCAATCTAGACTAACACTGTCTTTATATACTCAGAGAATATTTTATATCAGACCAGTCTAGTCTAACACTGTCTTTATATACTTAGAGGATATTTTATATCAGACTAGTCTAGACTAACACTGTCTTTATATACTCAGAGAATATTTTATATCAGACCAGTCTAGACTAACACTGTCTTTATATACTTAGAGGATATTTTATATCAGACCAGTCTAGACTAACACTGTCTTTATATACTCAGAGGATATTTTATATCAGACTAGTCTAGACTAACACTGTCTTTATATACTCAGAGAATATTTTATATCAGACTAGTCTAGACTAACACTGTCTTTATATACTCAGAGGATATTTTATATCAGACCAGTCTAGACTAACACTGTCTTTATATACTCAGAGGATATTTTATATCAGACCAGTCTAGACTAACACTGTCTTTATATACTCAGAGGATATTTTATATCAGACCAGTCTAGACTAACACTGTCTTTATATACTCAGAGGATATTTTATATCAGACCAGTCTAGACTAACACTGTCTTTATATACTCAGAGGATATTTTATATCAGACCAGTCTAGACTAACACTGTCTTTATATACTTAGAGGATATTTTATATCAGACCAGTCTAGACTAACACTGTCTTTATATACTCAGAGGATATTTTATATCAGACCAGTCTAGACTAACACTGTCTTTATATACTCAGAGGATATTTTATATCAGACTAGTCTAGACTAACACTGTCTTTATATACTCAGAGGATAGTTTATATCAGACCAGTCTAGACTAACAATGTCTTTATATACTCAGAGGATATTTTATATCAGACCAGTCTAGACTAACACTGACCATATATCGTTTATCAACGGAGCGGTAAATATTCTTGAACGAGTAGAGAGTTAAATTTACTATAGATTAGCAACTTTGGTGCTGATTTTGATGCCGGTATATTGAGGGTTTTTAGCAGGACAAAGAAGTTCATCAGAGCGTTCGACAGAAAGTCAAGCAGTATTCGCTAGCGTACAAACCAATCACTGCTCGCTGCATTCTGTGAAACAAGAAAACTAAACGTGCCTGATCAAGGTTTTAGACGCAGTTTGTTAAATTGACATGGTAAAGATTAGAAGAACCAGCCGTCCGCCGTTCAATCGCTTTTGTCCAAGTTTTAGTATTTGGTCCGGTGAAACGAAATAGTTTAATCCACATGATTAGATGTTCGGATTATAGATTATGTAATCATAATAATTCCAATTCAATATGTAGATGTATTTTTGTATTTTTATATGTAGTTTTGTATTGAAATAAAATGTATGAACAATGTTTCGTTGATTATTGGACGTACACGTAAGCCGGTTGCTAACATGATAGCGCTTGATTGGAGATAGAAGATTCCGTCTGTTCCAGTTCTGGTCTCAATCGAACGGTACAAAAGCGGAATATATCACATACAAAATTTTCCCATCTATTTCCTTCTCCGCCATTTTGACTTCTGTCTACACCTACTAGTTTTTCGATATGCTCTGTTACAACTTGTTTTATTGAACGTTCGGTTGATTCCATGAATCTCAAACGTTTAGAACTCGCCAATGTTATATTTCTCACATTTTCTGGGATCAAAGGGAGACTACTGAATACTAAACTTATAATATTAATAAAACTGAAGTAATACTAAGGGGAACGAAAGCTTGATCTTATTGTAATTATTGTCTGAGAAAAGTAAAAAGTTATCCAGAATTGGAATTGCTAATATAGTATTGTTAATCTTAGAATGTCTTTGCGTAGATGATTTTTTGTAAGTTAACAGACACGAAACACATATCACTGCTAGACATTTCAAACGATAAAGGTCACAAATATTGGCTGAAAACGAGCCACTATAAAACAATAATGTGTGCTTATGTTTATATTTTATCAAAGCAAAGACATTCTTAGACTAACAATACTATATTGAGAGTGCCATTTCAATTCTCATAAAAATTATTGATAAAATTAGAAAAAAACTTTTCTCAAATAGTAATTACAATAAGACCAAACTTTCAGACAATAGCCCGGATTGCACACCCCCCCCCCCCTCCCTTCCACCCCTCGTACCCCCTTTCATCATATATCCAAATTTATATTAAAAATGTTTATTGGTAAAAAAAGCTACATGAAAAATTTAAAAAGATAGAAAGAGAAGAAAATTAAAACAGAATTATAAAAAATGGACGTTCCACTGCAAGCTGCCGGTTTAACCAGCTTCATAATTTCCATCAAAGTTTCTTTTGTTGCTGGACAGCTTTCTAACTTTTCGCCGTAACAGGGCACGCCAGATTCGAATTGACTGAAAAGATATACAAATACAGTGGCTTAAAATAGGGCCAAACATTCTTGAGATAAATTGAGGGTGAGAGAGTAAGTGGGGGAGGGGATCTAGGCCAATAATTCCCAACCTTTTTCAGCTTTCACACCCCTGGGGCAATCAACTGGACCTTTCACACCCCAAAAAAATTGTTTCATCCACATTTCCAGCATGTGTTGATGTGAGGTGCTCTCTCATTTCAAAATAAATTCTTCCCCTACACCTTTCATCTCCCCTTTCCACACCCACCCTCCGCATACAAACGCTCTGCAAACATCGACATGCATAACGTTGCCCGTCTTCATTAGCCCTCAAGGTGCAGAAGAGTAGGAAGTTAAACTCCATTCATTTCATTTCTGTCAACAACTTACTGTGACAAAAAGATGAACATATCCGTAGAGGTAAATATCCTTATCAGAATCACCTAACGGAACATTGTACTGTTTATTACTTGGTTAAAAAAACATATTTTCAAAATGTTGTAAATGGCCACAAGGATCTAGTCGGCTGAAATAAATAATCTGTATTGTTTACCTGCATAGTTGAACTTTATATTCGGCAAGAGTAGAGTTATCTGTTATTACTTCACTGTCACTGGGTTTTTCTTGACCACATTTCGAATCCATGACACATGTCAAGTTGAAATCTATAACGAATCAATAAATTTTACCTTCAAAATTGGATTTGCATTTGTTGATTGTGGTGTAGGGGTGGCTGGCATAAATAGTTGAATACTGAATACCAGTATAAGAAAAGGAGAATACATGCCTGAGAATATTGGCTACATACAAGAGAGTAGAAGAACTCAATGTCCACTGTGGAAACATAATTGCTTTCTCTATTCAATCCAACCAGTGTTGTAAGATAGATGTTTTGTTACAATTTCAAATGTCCATGTTTCTCTTTAATGTAACGATTCCCATGTTTCTCTTTAAAGGGACATTCCCCTTTTTTGAAGGTCTGAATATTTTTCTTGCTAAAATTTGTGAAAACTATTCACCAAAATCTAGAGAAATGTGCCCTTTACCGTATCTGAAAGTTTAACTGAAATAATCCAGCCGTTAATTTTTAAACACCAAATTATTTTTAAAAAGTTTTTAAGTTCGTTATGCTTTTAGGCAGCTGTTGGAAAACTACTGAACGGATTTGAGTAAAATAAACGCCTAATTGTAGAGAAATATTTCTCCTATGTATTCTTAAGGTCTCAACTAATAATATCGATCCATTATAAAGCCAAACACCAAAACTAGGTCAAATTAGAACTCCGTTTTTAATTAACCCTTTTAAAACATATTCGATTTGATCAAGAAGATACATAGATATTAATAGCATATATTTAGAATATTTTCAGGCATAATTTTCGACGTTTTTGATAATGAAAACTTTTTACTAAAAAGCGGACCTCCCATGATTCTCTTTAATGTAACATGTAGGATAGCGAAAAACAAGCGATATAACAACCTCTTTGGGTTTCCCTTTCCCACAATTCCTTATTTTTATCAAGAACGGGTTTTACATGACACAATTTGGTTGGTTTGGAATATTACGTTTGGTAGAAAATTTCTCAGATTACACTGTAGATTAAAAATATTGGAAAACCAAATAGAAACGAAAATGTAATTCTAATTTTAATTAATAATATAAAATATTTTCACTGTTAAAATAGTGCTCAATGCGTCAATTGTAGAGTGATAGAAATACCACTGTTAAAATAGTGCTCAATGCGTCAATTGTAGAGCGATATAGAAATACCACTGTTAAAATAGTGTTCAATGCGTCAATTGTAGAGCAATATAGAAATACTACTGTTAAAATAGTGTTCAATGCGTCAATTGTAGAGCAATATAGAAATACCACTGTTAAAATAGTGCTCAATACATCAATTATAGAGCAATATAGAAATACTACTGTTAAAATAGTGTTCAATGCGTCAATTGTAGAGCAATATAGAAATACTACTGTTAAAATAGTGTTCAATACATCAATTGTAGAGCAATATAGAAATACTACTGTTAAAATAGTGTTCAATGCGTCAATTGTAGAGCAATATAGAAATACTACTGTTAAAATAGTGTTCAATGCGTCAATTGTAGAGCAATATAGAAATACTACTGTTAAAATAGTGCTCAATATATCAATTATAGAGAGATATAGAAATACCAGTGTTAAAATAGTGTTCAATACATCAATTATAGAGCAATATAGAAATACTACTGTTAAAATAGTGCTCAATACGTCAATTATAGAGCAATATAGAAATACCACTGTTAAAATAGTGCTCAATACATCAATTGTAGAGCAATATTGAAATACCACTGTTAAAATAGTGCTCAATACATCAATTGTAGAGAGATATAGAAATACCACTGTTAAAATAGTGCTCATTATATCAATTGTAAAGCGATATAGAAATATCAAAACAGAACCTCAGCTATGCGAGCAAACGTTCCGAATTTTCTCGAAGTCTAGACATGAGGATAACTTGTCCAACTTCAGTATGGTCACGGGCTGAAAATATGTCGGTTGTACGCAACAACGCAACGTTGTAGTTGCCCGACATGTTTTTTTTAGGTCCTGTTTTAATATTTATTTTAATTAGATTGATTGAGATACGAAGTGTAATATTTAAATAGCTTACTATTAGTATCGTTCATAACCCTTGAACAGTAGTAGTCTAAAGCACCGGTGAATTCCTCTGCAGTGGCTAGTATATTTTTATCTTCATCCATCAGACAGCTTCTCTGCGCATCATAAAAACATACCAACAACTTCGAAAATTCGGCTTTTTTACTACAAAAGTGGAAATAAACTTTGATTATATAATAGTTTGACTTGTTTTGTCCTTCACTATGATAATGTAACTCTCACTGCGGCACGCATAGGTATTGCCTTGATACACTCTACGCTGAAATGAACTAACGGCAATACAAAACCCGAAATTCAAAACAAAATTTTGATGAAACATTGTAGCTAATGAACTTTTCACATGAGGAAATATAACATTCATAAGCGAGTATTTCATAATGAAAAGTGTGTCTAAATGAGTAAGCATACCCTGATTGGCACCACACCTGTCATAGTTAACATGGCAACATTAAAATAGGAATATACAAAACAAAAAACGATGATTTATAAGTTTTAAAAGTTAAAGGGACGTAACTGATGAAAATATATTTAATTATATAATTTCAGTTTGAGAAAGACAATTTCGATGTGAGGTTGATAGGCGATTTAGAACTAATAGCAAAACGATGAAGGCGCCTTTATTATACTTACTTGCAGAATGAGTTGTCTTTTTCTTGAAAAAAGTTCGAAATTTGGTTACTGTCGAGATTTGAAAAATCTGAACTGGATTTGGTACAATCACTGCTTGCTTTCATTTGACAGGTCTTAAATTCACCATAAGTATCGCCACTGGCTAAACATACCACTCCTAGAATAAATATATAACTCTAATTACTTATATCATCTACAGCCTAAAGACTCAGTGCCGATTTAAAAAGGGTTATGCACAGTTGCGGATCCAGGTTTAAGTCCGAGGGGGGATATCTGAGGTTGCCCGAATTTCTAACCTAGTTATGAGTTTTTTGCCCGAAAAACTTGCTTTCGGGGCTGCGAGGGGGTGGTTATGCATCAACGAGAACATTTATTTCGGGGATAATACCTAATCGTCAACTTTTCTATTAACTGAAATATTCCGTTGACCTAATTTGGGTTTACATCTCAATTCATGCTGAAATATTTAGCAAAATATGGGTTTACATCTCAATTCATACTGAAATATTTGGCAAAATATGGGACGCATATTCTTCCCTGAAAATGAGAATACATCTTACGCCATTTTGGAAGTTATTTCAAATTTGGAAGTTATTTCAAATTGAATTAAGAGCGCAGTGTACTGTATTGTCGTAACGGTTGACTGATTTTACAATTCTATGCAGCTTTTGAATAATAACGCGATTAAAATACATCTCATGTTTATTTAAAGATTTCCTTTAATTTTGCATTGCTATCAATAACATTGACAACGTCGACCAATCAAATTATGTCAAATAAAAAGGTCAATTGTCTATAGATCGTGTAGCGTGAAACTCTGAATAACAACAGTTGTTTAGATTGTTTGAATATTTCTAAAATTAAGCTGAACTGGAGTTTTTAACGTCCTACTATATTTCACCTTGTGTGCTTAAGGAGACGACCAACGCTATGCAGGTTACATTTAAGACGTCTTCAAATAAGGCACAAGTTTTCAATTTAAAGAAAAGTTATCCTTAAAGGGTTGCTTCAACCTCCTACCCATCCCCCCTCACCCACCCCTCTCTCCTTAAAAAAACTTATTAACATGAAAATCTTACTCAATCTTAAATAGTGTTGAAAAATTGGTAAGAGTAATGGTCGAATGATTCATCTATATGTATATAAACCTAATATCGTACTCTCTGAAGACATCTAATATTTATTCTCCTCGGTATGTTTGCCTACAGCCATTGAACCCAATTTGATTTTATGTAGTTAGCTTATTGCTAGTAGTTATAGACACGCCCTTCCTTTTACATCTCTTTCTATTATCCATTTTAGGGTCCTTGATCGATTGCATTCCCCCCTTCCCCTATAATGATTTTTTAATTTTCTTTTAAGTTTTCCTTGCAATCTTTATCATACCGGAAAATATAGCATGACTGAATAGAACGACTTTACTCATAATTATTGTACAAAAATGTTTGCAAGATTGAAAATCGAATTATTAGTGCCAAAAGTTTTCAGATTACCCCTTTGAGGTAATTACCTGTTTTAAACCGACCAGGTTAAACCATTAGACAATGCAATATAATAAATGGTGACCTCATTAAGATCTTCATTAGTCAAATAAAATATAGAATGCGTAAGACGTCTACAAAGCTAACTAGCTCATAGCCTTGCTGGATACTGCGACATTCTTTGTTACCTGAGCCAGGTAAAAATCAATAGCACACGATACAAGTTTCACCGTTCATCGTTAACTACAGTTTTCTTCTGTTATAATACTCTCGTCTATCTCGTAAAGAAATTTCAAAATTAACAAATATCGTCTATTTAACTCCTGAAGTAGATGTTGAGGTTATAAACTCGAGAAAACCGACGCAGCCCTGTAGAGATAGTACTTTCTAATGCATATAGTACAACAATGTTAGTATGTCAGGTCCACGTGACCTCCCCCCACCCTCTCTTCAATTATCTTGTCAGTCTTTCCCTTTCATTAAAATTTAGATACTAAAAATATTTATCAGTATGTAGAAAACTAAAGTAAAACTGTAAAGTTGTCGACCCAGATTAGAGTATTTGAATTATGACGAGCGCATGTCTGCCCTACCTGTCTGAGTTGACAAGTGAAGGTGATAGGATTCTAAATTGTATTAAATGACCTACTTACCTGCTAATACTAGAACAATATTCAAATACACTGCCATTTTGCTAAATTTCTACCCTCTAACCTACGACTTTCAACTATCCAACACCAGTTTAATTGTATCACAAGGTTGGGTTGATGATCAATACACGCCGCTCCTTTTCTCGCCGCTTTCTCTACCAGGTCAGGCTGGGTGATTCATACCTGTATGTAGTTTAACAAAGGGCCTCGTTCATTCGAGCGCGCACAGCGTGGCTACAGGAAAAACTCAAATATTATTTAAATATTGATGCATAAAACTTCATTTATTGAACATTTTTGCTGAACAAAGTCACAATTCTTATTGATTTAAGTGTAGTAAAAAGCAAGCCGTTACGTCAAAATTAACATAAACGTAGATTTAATCGTATGTCGCATTGTCTACAAGTCTTTAAGAGATAGACAGGGTCATAATAGGTGTTGTGTAAATATTCCCCTTTCAAATCGATACCTGCTAATCATAATTGACAGTTTGGGTATAGTGAGAAGAATAACCTTGGTAACAATCATTAAAAAACTCTAGCTTTGATAACAAGATGAAGCTCAATATTTTTAATGCATGATGAAGAGTTGGAATGGGTCATTCGGGACAGCCCCCCCTCCCCCACCCCCTTTTCCAAACCTGTGAATGATTTTATATTGAAATGAAAATTCGGCCCTCTAATTGCTCAAAATTCATCTCAGACCATTTGAAATATGTTAACCTCTGGAAGCCCCAAGACCACCGAACTCAAAGGGCTTCGGGTCATGCTTCGGAGTGACACCCATTTTTGCCTCAATCCAGGCCCTTTCTCGATATGACCCAGAGGATGAAAAGATCTAGAAAGCTGGAAACATTGAAAAAATCAATCGGGTATTAGTCATGTGACTCTATTAGTCACAGTCGATGATATATTATTGAAGATTATGACTCATAGTTTCATATACATTTTTTTTTCTATTCCTTGCCGCTTAATGACAATTTGTGGATAGTTTCATTATCATAGTCCAATCGTTGCAAGCTCGTAGCTAAAGGGCTCGGGTTTGAAGGGGGGCAAATACCCCCACCCCCGTAAAAAGCACCCCCCCCCCCCCCTGAAAAAAATCTGACAACCGACCAATTTCATTACTGCAACTAAAAACCATTGCTCCTCTGGATATATATCTTGTGCCTCCGAACAATCAAGTCTGGTTTGACTAAGAACCTCAGCTTGATAAGTTTGCAATTTTAAATGGTTGCAATCCGTCTATAAGTTAAGTGTTCAACGACGCAGGATTGGAACAGTAGCCGCAATTTTAATATTATATCCTCAATAAAACGCCATCATGTGAAAAAACGAGAAAATAACAACAAGTGTTTCCATGCTGAAATCAGTGGCGGAGCCAAAGGGGGGCAGAGGGGTCCTCTGCCACTCCCCAAAGGCATGTTTTTCGGGCGAAAATATCATAACTTAGTGAGAAATTCGACCCCCCCCCCCTCTCCCCCCCCTACCCCCCGCCCCCCTTCGGACGTTAACCTGACTCCGCAACTGGCTGAAATCATATAAAATTGGTTTAGGGTAGAAGTGGGGGAGGGGGATGGTTTGGGTGTAGGGAGCGTTGTATCAAACTGAGACCATAAAAGATGGCAGAGGAGGAGGGTGGGATGGGAGTTTTGTCTCTTATACTTCACATGTCCTTCATAATTCTTCAACGTTAATATACCCTTATCGATTTTACTTTCAATATGGATTTTTATATTTACGACACTGCAAGTCATATGCATATAAAGAGTTTCCGTCATATTCAGCTGCTATACTGTATAAAACGTCTGCTCATGAATTTTTATATTGAACAGCGCAGCAGGGTTGTGTATTGATCGGGAATATCAAATTCTTCTATTGAACAATAAAATGCATCTACCCATTGGTGGAGGAAACTATTGCCCGAACAGTGGTATTTCTACAGAGGGCGGCAGGTGTGGCCTTGGCCCTCCAGAAGAGAGGCTGGCCCGGCTTTGACCCCCCCCCCCTACCCAACTTTCAAATTTGTTTATCATTATGCATAGTGAAAGAGATGGCCGGTGCCCCCCTGGTAAATTTTGTGGCCCCTGCTCGCCCCCTTACTTCAAAGTGGCCTTTTCAGGTTAGAGGAGGGGGGGGGGGGGGTCGGGGGTCGGGGTCCACAAAATTTGCCAGGAAGACACAGGCCATCTCTTTCACTATGCAAAATGATAAACAATTTGAAAGTGGGGGTGGGCGTAGGGGAGATAGCCGGGTCAGCCTCTTTTCTGGGGTTTCCTAGAAACGCCAATGTGCACGAAAGAGCTAAATGATATTAGATATATCGTAAATTGCTACATGATCAGATGACATTATAAAGTATACATATTGCAGTATAAATTGTGTGTTTAGCATATATTATATTTAGATAATACTGCAGTCATAATTACAGTTAACTTAATCTGGTCTATTAGCAGATTATATTTAATATTTTCCAAACAGATATATTTTCTTTATAAATATACAAGATTATCAGAACTCTTTTGAAGCTTTTGTTAAATTTCACTCTAGAATAAAATGGGCTATAGGTAACGATTGAAAAAGAATAAGAGAATACTGTGTAATGAGAGTTCCACTGGTTCCACCGGTTCCACCGTGCTTTCATCGTTGACTTTAGCACAAAGATCGATTTGGAAAATGTCAAGGCGTAGGGAAAGGAATAGAGGCTACACATGTTCCAGATCACTCGATAGTTTGAAAAAAAGAGTATATGAGAGTATGCAATTTCTGGGGTTGCACATGCAGAATTGATAGGTTTTTTTTCAAGGCGCATCCTAATCCCATATGATATATTGTAGCCATGCCTTTCTTTATACGGCACAGGATAATATTGATTGTCTTCATCGTGGCTTAAGGAGATTGTAAAGAGGTTTTTTAAATTTGCATGTGTATCGGGGACATTGATAACATCAATTTGCATCTTTCTAACTTTCAGTCAGACGTCTGTGGTTCCTGCAATTCCTGCAGTTCCTGTCTGTGGTTCCACAGGAAATAAATATTTGATGACGTCACTAATCGCAAAATATGCTTTATCACATAAGGCCCTTTGGGATTAGTGATGTCATCAAAGACTAAGTTTTAGTGATATTGCAGGAAACACAGACGGACGTCTGATTAAAAATTGAAATGGTGCAAATGTATGCTATCAGTGTCCCTGATACACACTATGCCATACCGAATTTTGTAAATCTCTTTATAATCCCTTTAATTCATCGCAGCAAAGGCGAAATGCTAGTGATCACGTAGCACTGTCTGTCGCATATAAAATAGAGAAATTACACTCCGGTGCGTAATATCGAAACATATTAGATCATTCTCCTTATAAAGTAATATAAATAGCCCTGACCTTAAAATAAGGTATGATAACAAGCTTTGTGCATGTCAAACAAAATAAAATTTAACCTAAAATCTATTTAAATTCATTGTAAAACGAGCCTTTTAATAGTAATATCAAAATACGACCCCGTTTTTATTCAGGGTATAAAAGGGAAATATTGTGGTGGTTATGTATCATACCATCTATCCTGTACTATATTCATTATCTATTCCTTATACAATTTTCTGTGAATTTTATTCGAGTCTTTATTTTAGTTTTCACTATGTTCTATTAGAAATATGCATTTCTGTAAAAAACGTAACCTTTCCCTATGAATTATTATCATGTATTATTATTTATAAGAAATATCCACCTTTCGTTTCATTTTGTAATTTTGAAAATTTTGTAATTTTGTACCTTCCTCGAATGTACCATGTTTATCATGATATAACTCTATTATAACACGTTTATCATGATATAACTTTATTATAACTTGTTTATCATGATATAACTTTATCATAACATGTTGTATGATGCCTTTAATGGGTGTATTTGATACAATAAACTTATCTTATGTTATCTTATGTAAATTTTGGTGTTACCTGTCTTAGGAATTGCCTCTCAGTAATCTAATGCTACTGTCCTGATAAAGCGTCCCTCATTGCATGGCGTTATCCATCTACATTAACCCAATCAGTTTCAGAGAGGTTGGGTCAGTTAAGGGCATTTCTCCAGCCAAGATCCAACAAAAACCAAGCTGTGTTTTGGAAATTCGAGTTTGAAGGACATTTATGCTATGTGCCCCAGAGAAGACCCAATTTGTGTAAATGATGTTATGTGCCATATGTGACACATAGAAAAGTTTCTAATCAAGGGAGGTAACCAAAATCCAAAAATTATTTTGTTAGTACAAGGGACGCAATCAGTCAAAAACACGAACCGATACCATGCTCACCGTATACCCACTTCATATTCCTTGTTGTGTAAAATAGCCTGTTAATTTGTAACCTATGCCCTTATATGTAAAGTTCCAATTAATGTTGCCTCTCGCACTTGAAGCTTTAGGTAGCTAAATCCGTTAGGTCAGATTTCTGTTTGTTTCATCGGCATCTGAGTTCTATTTATTAAAAAGTAACACGCTTACGGTTATTAAACGAAGTTCTTTCATGTAGCCTTTTATTGCGAATAGCGTTGGGCCCGGGTCCCTTTCGAAACATTCCATATTTTGATTCAACAATCCAAAAATCAACCAAAGATATGCAGACACATCTCTGGCTCAAACAGCAGTAAATGTCATGATAATAAAAAAAGTACAGAATTGCGTCTACAGTAGAGAGTAATATAAGTTTAATGGCGGCATAATACCATCAAAACTCATAGTAAAACTTCTTGAGACGGAACTCTTCCCCGGTTTAGTGTATTTAAATCGGCTAAATATGGGTTACATTTTTTTCGTCATTAATATTTTTTTGGATTATAAATGTTGTCCTGATAGCGTTCAAGGCAATAAACAGGTATTAAAAAAAGAAAAAGGTTAAGAGATTCAGCTTTATATGAATGAAATACAATAGAGGAATTTAAAAAAGTAAATTTTGAAAAGACATTTCCACGCGTTAAGAAAAATGTACGATGGTTGGCAGATAACTTCTAAGCCTTAGTGAGGGATAATGTCGCGATCAGATTGAAACCAACATAGTTACAAACAAGTAAACTCTGCAACTGTTGTGTTATCATGGTCTCTGTACCAGACCATCTGCAAGATGGGTGATATTGACCGCAGCTCAGTAACTTGTCAGTTTTCTGCCGTTCCGTGATAAAATTTATGCCCATGAGTTATAATCCCGATTTGTGCATCTTAGACTTTCACCTGTTTCCAAAACTTAAAAAAAAAAAAGAATTGATTTAGGACAAATAATTTGGCAGCCAGCTCTCGTATTTTTTTATTTCTAACTGGTTCTGGTATTCTCCTTAAAGTGATACTATGTCTTAGAATAAACATAAAATTTAAGAATTTTAAACTTGGCGAATAAGAGCCAGTAGATATACCTGGTGTCATAAATAACATAACAGGATCCTTATATAATCCGATAAATCCAAAAAACTTAGTAATTATCCATAAAAATGCAATTAACTATTGAACAACGCTTAATATCAAGAATAAGCGTTTTTCAATAATTACTTATTTTTATGAATTTTCAAATTTTCCAGATTTTACAGGGATTCTGTTGTAACTTTATGACACCAGGTAGGTTGACTGATGAATATATACTCATATTGACCATTTCGAGAACTTAAATTTTATGTTCATTCTAAGACGGAGTATCACTTTAAATTGTGAATTCACTGAAGTTCCTCTAGAAGTGTACGTACAAAACTGAGGATTGGGTTTCAATTCCCTGCAATGAAGGCATATATCACGGTGTCTACAACCGTTTTATTATCTTTTAAACCAAACAACCTTCTACAAGGTGTGATGGTAAGAAAAGTGCCACTCATCTGTCAAAAGGTGGATCAAGTCAAACACCGTTTATCGATTTAACGACTTTTTTTTTTATTGGTTTCCCCTTCTGAGATCAGACGTGTACATTACCAATTATAAGGCTTTATGTCCAATATTTCAAAACAGTGTCTTGTACTCGACTTATGTCCTCTATAATTGAGGCTAAAATATCACGATTTCCCTTAAATTTCAAATTTACCAGACGTCAAAATAACAATGAATATCTTAAAAACAATTTAATCCCCAAAAAACATGATTGACACCTTCGTCATGGTTGCCTAGTTTTCATCTTGCCATCAGTTGAATAACGCTACAGCTGGTGAAGTTCTCTAGAAGGTGTACAACCATTGGTATCGGTAAGTCACGTTCAGTTTGTTTCAGTCATTTACTTGGCTATCATCATTTGATTGCAGACTCCTATATTACCAGAGGAGGGAGTCTCAGTTTTATAAAGGCAATTATATCTAAATATTTCTTCCATTGATCAAGTTGTGCTAGGATTTAGACTTCATTTTTCATACAGTTCTTTTTACATAGTGTAATAAACACTAGTAGCTGCTGTGAAACATCGAGTTACACTCTCACCTGTAAGTGGTAATACTCACAGATTTAAAGATGGGTTTCCTCATTTTTTAGTGTCAAATTAAGCAAAATATTTGATTAATTGGTGTTTCTAATGAATTATCGCGTATTCTTAATCATATCATTATGTTCTTATTAAATGTTTTAACCAATCTTAAATATCCATGTATGTATACAGTCTGGATAAACAAAAAAAGACTTTTTGACCTCTCTTGATCGGTCACTCATTGGAATTTTGCTGGTAATTCTCCTCTAATTTAGCTAATTATGAATTAATTATGGACATGTGAGACAAACTGGTATTTTTCCAAGTCATTAGAACACTTCTACTTTCTATTCATATAAGCATTAGCATTTTCATTTTCATAAATGAAATAAAGGGAATCCATCTTTAAAAGAAAGAAGCGTGTACTCGTTTAGTTAAAACGAAGTTTCTTTTCATGACCAAACGAAATTAATACATTGCATGTGTGTTGTGTGTTGATTAAGTTATGGAGTAGATGGAGCTCTATATTAATTTACTTTGTTTGTAACGGTGGGAAGGGGGGGGGGGGGGGGAGGAATGTAATTGTCGTTTGACATGATGAACTACCATATAAAGCAAGAGGTTATTAATGTAAATTGAATACTGTTTGTTTCCTACGTTTGATATATCGCTAAACAGGGTTAAACCTTGAAGTGTATAGACCTATGTCATACAAAAACTGGGGGTTAAAAGGTGGTGACACTCTTGCAATCTTGCCATAAGTCATAGAGATTTGTGCAATTTTTTAAAAGTTTTTTGGACATCACTCAATCTATAAAACAGTGCAGTAAATAGAGATATAAGTCAGTAGGTTTACAATCGTGGTCATTTATCAACAATATCTGATGTGTAAAATTTCTCTGGGTATGTACATTTACCCTTTTGATAATTGGTATATTCAGTGTTCATTATCAATATCACTCTCTTGGCAAGTATCTTGTATAGCTTGTTATTCTGATTTCGATGAGTGAATGTTATTGGTGGGATCCCAATACTCCATTCGAAGATTTTGTCATTTGACATTAGGTTTTAGTCTCTGAAACCTGCCTCACTGACTTATATTCTTGAGTGTTTCGTTACGTTTAAATGACAGTTTCACCACTCGTTTGACCAATCGTACTAGAAACAGGAATCTATTTGACTAAGCTAATCAGTGATAGTGTTCACAGCTCATCGTCGAAATTTGAGTCTTGAAATCCATGTGTGTCCAGAATGGAAAATTAAATGACGACTCGTCTTTTTTAAGCTCTGTCTTATACAGAAATTTCTACGTGAGTTTTGCGATTTTCGTGCACTATTAAAGACTCCATGTATTTACAAAATATCAATCTCTGAAAATGGCAAATCATGGACTTTATGATTTTAGTTTTCATTTCCCCATTCGAATAATATATATTGCTCTGGATCTAGGCGAGAACCAAGATGAACTAAAGGTTCATACTCATTATTGTCATTTTGTTACGTTTTTTTAGGCCAGATTTGAGTTGAAGGAACAGAAAAAAGTAAAATCGGACATCGAAGGCCCAAACATGATGAAGCTGGGGTTATATCTGACGTTATTGTTTCTGTCGGTGTGGACAGTATCCGGAGAGCCGTTCAGTAAGTTCAACTATTTATTCTACTTTTGTCCCTTTGTCATCCTCACAATGTCGTCTTATACCTTGATTGCAATAACCACTTTTCTTGTATCACATAATTTCCAAATGGATTGTAGAGTCAATCAGATACCACGACAGAGAGTCTGTAAACGCTAAGCCACAATAAAAACAGCCTTTCTGTCGAGGGCTCTGATTGGCTGGCGTACAATGCAATCAAATCGCTGCATTCCATAATAGAAAACATTGCAGTCAATTATTTCAAGACGGAATACGTAATAGCTTGACATTGTAAAAATACATCTTTAGAATCGCATCTTGAGTGCCCAACGATCGCCAGTTTGATTGTATTTGATGGGTTCTGTTTGTCGAGAAATGACACTGAACCATTAGTTTACAGTGACTGACACAACGGGCTGCTTATTAATTACATGTCCAAACTGAGAGTAGCTCGAAATTTTTAAAATTGTTTCAAGTTACTTGAGGCAACGCCGCTTTTAGTCTCAAACATCGAGCCATCAAATAACGCAATATCAATCCGTGCAGTAATAAAGTGCGTTTAAGCTATACGAAGAGCAACTCATAGTCAGGTCTCTCGAACTGACATGCAGCACATAAATTCCTCTTTGCCTGTCATTTCATTTCATTTCATTTAAAATCATAATGGGTTGTACAGATCACTTTACGGAAGCCACTTCAATGTATATGTACTCTAAATGATGTATCGGCAATAACTAAACTTTATTATGAACCTTTCACTGATGATTATGCTTGGTACGTTTATTGATTTTATTTGACCATAATAATTAGTAAACTGTCTAGACTAAATGCTATATTACTTATGAATTTTCAGAATGTACCAATATATGTGGAAAAGGAGCTATTATAATCGCTGGGGTAGCCTACTGTTGTCCTCAAGGTTACAAACCGATGATCAGAAGGAAAATGGAGGACGCTTTCATGGCCACGGATTGTGACTGTCTATTTATGATGCCGGCTGGACAAGGAATGTATGCACAGTATCCACAAGCTCCTAATCAAGGATCATTCATCGTGCAGCAACCACCTCAGGCTCCTGCTGTTGCTGTTGCCCCTGCAGCTGCCACAGTTCAAGTAGTTGCTCCTGCCCCAACTGTTGTAGCAGCACCACCAGCAGCACCACCACCACCTCCACCAGTAGTCAAAGTTGCTCCTCCTGCACCCAGACTTCCAACTTACAAACCCATGTACCAAATGATCCGACAGCAGCCCATGCGTCAACAAAGAACCTGGTATCATCGACCAGCACCAACATATGCTGCGCCAACCAAATCAACCAAACCCAAACATGAGTTTTTCAAATTTCTAGATGACTTTTTAAGCAAACAGGGCTACCGAGGAGGCAATCGAGGGTAAATTAAACACCTTGGTTTGGGACTGTATCTAATAATAAAAAGTAGTACAATATTCTTTTAGTTGTTAACTTAAGCAAAAATAAAGCCTCATATGTAGGAGCTATAAAGCCCTCCACCAAATGAACTCATGGATTGGGATGCCGAGTGATAATCACTATTCCAGAGTAGCGTCATGTGTTCTGCCATCATAATTATTACTGGATAAAAAGTCAAGAGCTGAAATCTAATAGGTTGCAGAATGACCCCCAGGGCAGCCTTGACCCGGGTTATAACCACTGGAGGTCAATATAATTCATGCATAAGCCACAGGGTCGAACTATAAAACAACAATGGTGGTGGTTGATGTTAATGTTAAGACTATTATATGAGAAAATGTAAACGTAGCCAATAAATAATCACGCGATCGATTGTGATCAGATAAAACGTAATAAAATTATCATATACGGCTGTGCCTCTGGGCCTTTTTATTAATTTTTATTTAAAATCTTACAACCAATTATTGTTGTTGAAAGTATATTATATCTCAATGTAAAATTGATTCCTCCCACTTCAGATAAAATGATATCGTCGCAATATTGTCTGAAATTTTCCTCATTTCTTGTATGTATAACAGGGATATTTGTGGTTTCTGCTTGCGTCAGTCAGACGATTGTGGTTCTTGAAATCATACGAATTAACCATGTATGACGTCATGAAGTAAAATCTGCTATTATCTAAAGGCCATTGTGATAGCTACAAAATTAAACGCTTAGTTGATTTGCAAGAACTATGGACGTCTGCCAGAAAAATTGGAATAGTGTAAGCTATGGGTGTTCCCAATACACATTCGAGGGCTAGAAACATAGCTATCTGGAAAATGAAGTCAAAGAGAATCTGTAGCATACGGGGCCTTGGGTTGTTGTTCCATGTCTTTTTCCCATACCCCCCGACCTGCATTACTGACAGGGGGAAGTGTTATCTCTAACCTTGCAAACCACTGAACCTTAAAAAACATCAGTCGTATATATATGCAAGTTATAGCCCTTGTTCTTAAAACCTTTATCTTATTCCTTGCCGCAGGCCACTGATGAAGCCACTATTTGTATGACTAAAGGTGAAATCTCTCTTGTGATGGTTGCCGTTTAATAAAATTTACTACTTCAATCATAGCTATGCCTAGCTTCATTTCCCACTTTGTTAAGAGATCTTACTGAACCAGTTTGTTTCAGACTGGTCTAAACTACAGCAGCTTTTGTGGTTTTATTATTTGAAATTATTAATTATTTTATTATCTAAAATCACTTTGCCCCTCCATGTGATAGTATCTTGTAAATGCCCAAAAGAAATCAATAGTTTCCAAACTGCAGCAGCTTTGTAGTTTTATTATTTAAAAATTGGTCTAAAATCAGTAAAATCACTTTTCCCCTCCGCGTGATGGTATCTTATAAATGCCTTGGAGAAATAATTAATAGATAGATAGATAGATAGTTGACTGTTCATTGTAACGGGTAACATGAGATAATTACAGTAAAATAAAGAAACAATCCAAGTTTGTTGACATTTCCTGACGATCTCCAGTTGTCGTCTGTACATGATGTCACGTGATGCTAGTTAGTGTATATATTATATAAACAACACCAGAATTTTAATTATCGTCACACAATTTCAGCTGAGGTATGTCGGTTATTTTTTATTTTTTCTCTGCGCAATTTGTCTCCGGTACAAAAATTCTGTCCTTTTGGTATGCGAAAGAGGGTTAGAAAGAGAGGTGTGGTTTTATTCAGGAGGTTTGAGAAACGAATTGTTGTTTTGGGGCTATTGTATCCGATTAATTACAGAACTTGGTGTTTTGTTTTGTCTGATTCTTTGGAAGACTCATATGGATGGCGAGTATAGTACCCCACTATTAACACTTTGTAAAATAAACATCTCGATCTGCATTTTGGATCCACTGATGATCTAGTTCCATGATTGACAGCCAACAACTGACCGACTTCCGAAGCCACTTCTCGAAATTAAACATCTGAGGCGCCGGGTTGGATCTGGATAGGTACCCTATGCAAAACCATGTCATAACTTGTTAATTGCGTTACTGCATAGAGTTATAGAGTCAAGCTATTACGAACTTCGTCTTGTACCTTGACTATAATAGCAAACTTTCCTGTATATCATGGAAGTTTGTCGAATACAGCGAATTGATTGATTTGTACGCCAGAGAAAACAGACAATCAGCGACAGAAAGTGTGTATACATTATGGCTTTAGTTTCCAAACTTTCTGTCGAGAGGCCTCATAGGCTGTATTCGCTAGCGTACAATCCAATCAAATCGCTGCATTTACAATCTTCCCTGATACAAGAATAGTGGCTTATGCAGGCAGGGTATCATAACAAAAATATCTGGAGATAGTCTGTACCCTATCCAGGAAATATAGCTATCCAAACACCACTATTATTTTATGAAAGTCTGTTTGTTGTTAGTGAATTATGGAAAACGACATGAAATGACATGTACAATGATGAAATGTGTCATTTTTTCACAAGTTACCCTGACCCAACTCACAAACTCATGTTTCATTTTATATATCTAACAACATTAAAGTAATATACCCACTATTTAAATCACCAACATTGCAATGCCTGAGATGAATGGCTGATCCAGAGGGAGGGGTGGATCTAGTAAATTTCTGATAGGGGTGGCTACAAATAACAGGACTCTCTCTGAAGGTCCGAACTACCATTGAGAGCTGCCAGAGTCCCTTATACGCCAACAGATTTTGGAGGACTTGATTTTCACTTCAAAATAAACCTCAAACAGACCCGATGGAGGCATAGCCCCGAAATTCACCACTGCCTAGAGGAAACCATATATGCACATTTAATAGTGGTAAAACACTGTTTTGATGTAGTATTCTGCACCCATTTACACAAGTGGTGTTTCCAATATTATCTGAAATCAAGGTTTTTTTTACACTGCAAATTAGTCAAGTATTACTTGGAAAAATAATCTGCATTCAATGAAAATCTGTTGCTTGCCATGGTTGGGCTGGTTCTTTTAGTGAAAAATGTTCTAGAATGTTCCTTCTGTTATTATGTGGGCCAGGTCGTTTAATGAAAGGTATGTAAGTCAAGGTTTATATATTGTTTTATTATTTCTATTTACGAAGTTAGTTGTGTTTCATTATGGTACGTCTTGGTATTATTTTGCTGGTAGGCCTAATTGGCACCGCTTATCCTGCTATTATACAGTCATCAATCTACCAGACTGGTGGCAATCAAAACACTGGTAAGTAACTTCTCGTATTTGTTTTTTTTCCATTACCCTATTCAGGTTCCCTGATCAATCGCATTGCCCCTCTTCCCTCAGTAAATTCTTACTCTAAGTTTTTCCCTGCAATCTGTACCATGTCGGAGAATATAGCTTGAATAGAACGACTTTAATCGTCCTTCAATTTAATCCTATCACAGGTCTGCATACTTACTGATATTCTCGTATGTTTATAAACCTTAAATGGCAGCGATCATCATCATGATGCCTCCTCTTCCTCATCAACATCACCATCATCATAACCACCATCATCCTCATCCACTTCATCATTACCATCATCATCCTCTTCACCATCATAATTTACCTCCTCATCACCATCACCACAATCATCCTCCTCTTCACCATAACCATCGTCATCACCATCATCCTCAACTTCACCATCACCATCATCATCCTCCTCTTCACCATCATCATCCTCTTCACCATCACCATCACCATCATCCTCCTCTTCACCATCATCATCCTCTTCACCATCACCATCATCCTCCTCTTCACCATCATCATCCTCTTCACCATCACCATCATCCTCCTCTACACCGTCACCATCACCATCATCCTCCTCTTCACCATCACCATCATCATCATCATTACCATCATCACCCTCTTCACCATCACCATCACCATCTTCATTACCATTACCACCATCATCCCCCTCTACACCATTATCATTACCATCATAATTACCACCATCATCATCCTCCTCTTCACTCTCTCTCTCCTCCTTCTCAACCTTTTCCTTTCGTCTGCTCTTCTTCCTCCAATTCTTCTTTCTCGTCTCTTTCTCTCAACATCAACATCAACAGCAAAATCCTCCTCTTCATCTTCGACTTCATAATCCTACTGTTCCGCTCTCATTCTCCTCTTCCTTCTCCTCGTTATCATCATCATCATCATCATCATTTAAGAAAAGGGTTCCAACCGCTGTTATCCAATCCAAATCACATCTAAAAATAACTAATAAAAGCTATTTTTTCAGTTCAGAAATGTTTGACGGGATCAGAATGCAACAACCAAAATTCGTTCAGCATGATCAACAACCAAGTATTTTGCTGTCCATCTGGTAGTAGCATTAGCTCGATGTCTTCCTATGTAAATGGTCAGAGTTACATTGATTGCACGTGTTCGTCTGGTGTTGCATTTTCCTCCAATTTTGATTGGGACTCCTGGAATAGAGGGTGGAATAATTTTCATCGCGACATGTCTAATATGAATCAGCAGCTGGGCAATATGGGTCAAAGGATGTCGAATATGTTTTCTGGTGGTTTCCCATTTAATAATAGAAGACGATGGTGAACGAATAAAGATACTCTATAAGTCAATCAAAGATAGTCTGATTTTTAGTCTGAAATAGCTGTTATCTCCCCTTTATTGTAAATAATTTGCTGCAACGCCACACGTATCATTATGTCCACGTTTGATAAATATGAAATAATGAATGAAAAAGTTTCCTTTGTCTTCCTTGACTATATCGACCAATTTGATTTATATCAATGTGTTTTATCTAATTATTTCCCCCTTTGATTTGTGTATTTAAAATGTTTAATAAATTTCTGCTCTATTTAGTACACTACTGAGGGATTGTTTAGCATAGTGAGCTTGTTTTAGAGTTCGTCTGTCATTGTCTCATTGTGTCAATTATGAGCAGTCAAGAATAGGACTGAATCAATCCAAACTGTCGTGTCCTATTGGCTGGCAGATTGTTTGGTATAACAGTTTTCTGCGGTCTGAATGGGATTATATATACCAAACTATCGTGTCCAACAAACAGACTGCTGAATCAAACTTTTCTCAAAATGTCTTGGCAAGTAAAGCCGATGAGTGTGAACGCCATGAAACGCTAACAAACATAAGCCAACATTTGGTGGAATTTTATATTGCCCTAGTATCACATGACAGCGAAAAACATAAAATCAAGCGCTGTACTGTAACCATTCAATCATGACACGTTACAGCGTAAAATACATTTACCCCAATTTGCATTAATGGAAAATTTGGTGAACAGCGGGAAATTAACATATAGATGAACCGAAGTCGACCCTTTTGATTTTACCTTGTTAAATCTGTCTTAAACAGCAAATTAAGAATAATAGAAATAGGACGGATCTATTTTTGTCCAAAACATGAAACAAGCACCTGCCACTAACACTTGTCGTTCATTAACAGTAATTTATATTTTTAAAATAAACGGTGTTTAATTCTATTAGTCGCTTGATTGACAAGCATCTTAATTTCAACAGATCAGAACCAGATCTGTCATTGAGCGAAACACTCAATTCATACTGAATTAAATAACGGAACACGATTTTAAGGTATACTACTCCTTAGTTTCAACAAATCTACATTGTCATCATCGGGTAAAACATTGTGTACAATAAAACTAAGAGTGGTATACCTACCATAAGAATTGTGTTCCGTTATTTAATGTGATCTCTACCACTAAATGTCGCTTAAGGATTATCATACAGAATGAACAGGCAAGGGTGTCGTCGAGCCGGTTTCCTGAAGTATATCAGCAATACGAAACGGTATAGATTGCCAAAGAAAGGTTATATGGATACCGAAGAAACGGACATTTCAGCATCTTGTTTTACATTTTACTTGAGGGTATAGAGTGTTGAGTTTTGAGGGTATAGAGTGTTGAGTTTTGAGGGTATAGAGTGTTGAGTTTTGAGGGTATAGTGTGTTGAGTTTTGAGGGTATAGAGTGTTGAGTTTTGAGGGTATAGTGTGTTGAGTTTTGAGGGTATAGAGTGTTGAGTTTTGAGGGTATAGTGTGTTGAGTTTTGAGGGTATAGTGTGTTGAGTTTTGAGGGTATAGTGTGTTGAGTTTTGAGGGTATAGTGTGTTGAGTTTTGAGGGTATAGTGTGTTGAGTTTTGAGGGTATAGTGTGTTGAGTTTACCATTATCATTTACCTCCTCTTCACAATCACCATCATAATTACCACCATCATCATCCTCCTCTTCACTCTCTCTCTCTCCTCCTTCTCAACCTTTTCCTTTCGTCTGCTCTTCTTCCTCCAATTCCTCTTTCTCGTCTCTTTCTCTCAACATCAACATCAACAGCAAAATCCTCCTCTTCATCTTCGACTTCATAATCCTACTGTTCCGCTCTCATTCTCCTCTTCCTTCTCCTCGTTATCATCATCATCATCATCATCATCATTTAAGAAAAGGGTTCCAACCGCTGTTATACAATCCAAATCACATCTAAAAATAACTAATAAAAGCTATTTTTTCAGTTCAGAAATGTTTGACGGGATCAGAATGCAACAACCAAAATTCGTTCAGCATGATCAACAACCAAGTATTTTGCTGTCCATCTGGTAGTAGCATTAGCTCGATGTCTTCCTATGTAAATGGTCAGAGTTACATTGATTGCACGTGTTCGTCTGGTGTTGCATTTTCCTCCAATTTTGATTGGGACTCCTGGAATAGAGGGTGGAATAACTTTCATCGCGACATGTCGAATATGAATCAGCAGCTGGGCAATATGGGTCAAAGGTTGTCGAATATGTTTTCTGGTGGTTTCCCATTTAATAATAGAAGACGATGGTGAACGAATAAAGATACTCTATAAGTCAATCAAAGATAGTCTGATTTTAGTCTGAAATAGCTGTTATCTCCCCTTCATTGTAAATAATTTGCTGCAACGCCACACGTATCATTATGTCCACGTTTGATAAATATGAAATAATGAATGAAAAATGAAAAAGTTTCCTTTGTCTTCCTTGACTCGACCAATTTGATTTATATCAATGTGTTTTATCTAATTATTTCCCCCTTTGATTTGTGTATTTAAAATGTTTAATAAATTTCTGCTCTATTTAGTACACTACTGAGGGATTGTTTAGCATAGTGAGCTTGTTTTAGAGTTCGTCTGTCATTGTCTCATTGTGTCAATGATGAGCAGTCAAGAATAGGACTGAATCATTCCAAACTGTCATGTCCTATTGGCTGGCAGATTGTTTGGTATAACAGCTTTCTATGGTTAGAATGGGATTTGAGTATACCAATCTTTCATGCACACCTAGCTAAGAGTGAGTCTCTTTGGTACAATGAAAGTTTTCTGTGGTCAGAATGGGATATACATATACATACCAAACTATCGTGTCCAACAAACAGACTGCTGAATCAAACTTTTCTCAAAATGTCTTGGCAAGTAAAGCCGATGAGTGTGAACGCTATGAAACGCTAACAAACATAAGCCAACATTTGGTGGAATTTTATATTGCCCTAGTATCACATGACAGCGAAAAACATAAAATCAAGCGCTGTACTGTAACCATTCAATCATGACACGTTACAGCGTATAATACATTTACCCCAATTTGCATTAATGGAAAATTTGGTGAACAGCGGGAAATTAACATATAGATGAACCGAAGTCGACCCTTTTGATTTTACCTTGTTAAATCTGTCTTAAACAGCAAATTAAGAATAATAGAAATAGGACGGATCTATTTTTGTCCAAAACATGAAACAAGCACCTGCCACTAACACTTGTCGTTCATTAACAGTAATTTATATTTTTAAAATAAACGGTGTTTAATTCTATTAGTCGCTTGATTGACAAGCATCTTAATTTCAACAGATCAGAACCAGATCTGCCAC